AAGCTTGGAACCGCTTTCCAACATGCACAAACCTAAGCTTTTCATATCACAATCCTCTGAACATGAGTGGTCACAATCTTGATGCACACCTGCCTACAACTGCCAGTCTAAACCTCTTCTAACTATTAAACCTTCCTTTGTTCCACCACCAACAACCTCACTGTTAGAACCCTCAACTCACCATATCTTAAAATGGTCTTATCTTCAAGATCATAAAACCTAGATGACCTTTGATCTCTCACTACAAGCCTCTCGCATTAACAACACAATAACAAGCCTTGACCTCTAGCTCTCTTATGTTGCCCACCACATTCCCCGCCCACATTGTGCGTTCTTCATTTTAAGTAAGTTTAGAGATCATTGCTCCCCTTTGACAACCGAAACCCACCTCCATAGATCAATTTTTTTTTAAAATTTTGGTTGCTTTTTGTCCTCCTTATCTCCCAACCCCCCTCTCTCTCCAAAACATGTCCTCATATCTCTGAACTATAGCTACAACCTCCTTCGTGACATCTATCGCATTTTCCTTCTGAGCTTTTTAGAATTAATAAAACAATAGTTTCCCTACTCCTTTACTATTAGATCATTCTTCATTATAACCTTTACCGTTATATCTCCCAAGGTAACCTAAGCATTCATATTCTTCGCCCTTGCTAAAAACTTATCACTAGCTCTTCTACTTTATTTATTATTTCTTACACCACCGTTTTCTTTGAAAGGTATTTGTTGAGACTCTACATGAAAATTTTCATTATTATCCTATATCCACACTCTCATTCATACTCTATATAAATGCATTTTGTCAATAACTCTATCAATGCTCTCCATTGAAGCCTCTATTGATGACTTAATTGATAATGTGGATTAATGCCTTTTTTGGCATGCTTGGCGTACCCCATCAATAGTGCGACGAAGCTGTAAAAGTATTGTTTTTAATGATCTGCTTTGAGGACCATATTTGTGCCTTCTTTGACACAAATCTAATTGCCAAACCACTAAACCCTTACATCAAACCCAGTCCTCCTTCAACACTCACAACTTCTAAGCAACATGATTATCACATCTTTGGTCCTTATTATTCCAAACAAAAGGCTAACATATTCTATATCTTCTTAACTATAGGGCAGACTATTAAAACATCTATATCATCATATGCGCAAAACAACAATATTACAAAACTTATGCTAATTACATGATATTTCTTATCTATTAAAGATATATCGTAGTCCTTATTGTAACTCTCTTATATTCTCACTCATTCTAAAACAAATAACAACATATTAGTAAAACCACACGCAAATAATTTATCTATTGATTCGTCAAAATTTCTACTCAACTCCTCCTTGTTGCCTTTTTATTGCCCAAAAAGAAAATTATAGTAACAACAACAATAACAAGCCTTTCTCCCACTAAGTGAGGTCGGCTATATGAATCCTTCTTCTCTGTTGCGCCCTATTGTCATATTTTTAAATAATTCTAATAAATTAAGATCATTTTTTATATGCCCAAGTCTTTTTAGGTCTACCTCTGTCTTTATTAACATAAGTCGAATCTAAAACATTTACTCTCCTAACTGGGTCATCAGATGATCGACGTTTAATGTGACAAAACTATAGACAACTTTCTCTAATTTTCTCCGCCACTAAAGCTACACCAACTCTATCACGGATATATTCATTTCGTATTTTGTCTCTAATATTTTGTCTCTTGTCTCTAAGTGTCAAGCCACTCATCCACCTAAGCATTCTCATCTCGACAACGCGTAACTTTATTTTATGTTTCTCTTTTAAAGTCAAACATTCTGCGCCATAGAACATTGACGGTCTCACCACCATCTTATAAAATTTTCCTTTCAATCTAAGCAGTACTTTTCTATCACATAATAGGTCAGATACATTCCTCCGCTTCAACCAACCAACTTGAATTCTACTAATAACATACTCATCTACATCACTATCATTTTGAACAATAGACAGAGATATCTAAAGTGTTCACACAATTTAATGTTTTGATCACCAATAGTTACAACTTTGCCACTAGAGCTACTACTACTAAACCAACATTCAATGTATTCGGTTTTAGATTTACTCAAACAAAGGCATTTAGTCTCCAAAGTAGACCTCCATAATTCAAGTTTTTTCTGGAACTCTTTCTCTAATCCTATCCACAAGAAGGATATCATCAGCGAAAAGCATACACCAAGGTACATCCTGTTGTAAATGTCCAGTAAGAGCATCCATAACTAAAGCAAAAAAATATGGGCTTAAAGTCAATCCATGACGTAATCCAACTGAAATAGGAAAATATTGGGTCACTCCTTCTGTTCGTACACCGGTAACAAATCTAGCATACATACCTTTAATGACTTGAATATAAATCAAATCAACACCTTTCTTCTCTAGAACTCTCCAAAGGATTTCTCTTGAAACCTTATCGTAAGCTTTTTCTAAATCAATAAAATCATATGCAGATCCTCCTTATTTTTTATGTAGTTCTCCATCAAATCATTCAATAAATGTAAAGCATCCATAGTAGACCTACCCGGCATAAATCCAAACTGATTATGAGAAATCTTTGTAATACGTCGTAACATATATTCAATTACCCTCTTCTATAATTTTAAAGTATGACACATCAATTTAATTCCTCTATGATTTGCACACTCTTATGCATCCCCTTTATTCTTAAAAATAAGGACCAAAATATTCTTCCTCCACTCCTCAGGCATATTTTTAGTTTTTAAAATAATATTAAAGAGTTTAGTCAGCCATCAAACTCTCAAATCTACAAAATATTTCCACACTTCAATTGGGATATCATCAGATCCTACTGATTTTCCAGCTTGTTCTCTTGTTCTTTTTTAAGCCTCCTCAACTTCTTTATTATTAATGTGACGATAAAAATAAAATATTTTATTATTATTAACGATATTGAGATCACTAAGATCGATCTTATTTTCAAAAACTTCATTGAAAAAGTTTATCAAAATAGCTCCCCACCTATTTTGAATATCTTTATCTAAGAAAAACAATTTTTTATTTTGATCTTTAATACAATTTACTTAAGTTAAATCTTTACTTTTCTTTTCTCTTTGTTTGGCTAGTTTATATACATATTTTTCACCATTTTTAGTATCTAATTTATTATAAAGATCACTAAAAACAAAATTTTTAGCTTCACAAATTATTCTCTTAAACTTCCTACGAGTCACCTTGTATTTTTCCCAATTCTCTAAGCTTTTACATTTAAAATAATTTTTCTAACACAACTTGTTATATTTTATTTTTTCTTGCACAATATTATTCCACCCCAATTCTCTAAGCTTTTACATTTACAATAATTTTTCTAACACAACTTGTATTTTATTTTTTCTTGCACAATATTATTCCACCACAAATTATTTTTATTTATAGAATTTTTTCCTTTTGATTCTCTTATTACAGCTTTGATCACTTATTTAATAGTGTTTGTTATTTTATCCCACATAGAATTACCTCTTCATGAACATCTCAAATATTGAAATCTTGAAGTCTACTCATAAAAATAATTTTATTTGTCTTTTAGGTGCCCTCATCTAATTCTATGACAATGATTCCTAAAATTTTTTATCTTATAACTCTTCATCTTAAAATCCAAAACTAATACTCGATGTTGAGTACTTAAATTCTCACTAGAGTTGACCTTACAATCTTTACATTCTCGACGATCTCTTATTCTCATAAGAAAATAATCAATCTGTGTTTTATTAGATCCATTCTTATAAGTTCTTATAAGTAATAATTTCTTATAAGTAATAATATGTTCATCTCTTTTTTAACATAAAATATTAGCAACAACAAAAGCATACGCTAAAGCAAAATCTAATATGATTTTACCTTCTTCATTACTTACTCCAAAACCGTAACCACCACGAATATTTTTAAAATTTTCTCTCTCTATCAACAAGTCCATTTAAATCTCCTCCAATAAAAATTCTTTTTTCAAGAGGTATCACTTGTATTAAGTCTTCTAGGTTATTCCAAAATTTTTCTTTAGAACTTATATTTAAAACGACATAAGAAGCATGAACACTTATAATATTAAAAATCTTACTATCAACAACAATCTTAAAGACTATAATTCTATCTCCACTTATATTAATTTTTACAATATTATATTTCAAACTCTTATCTATAATTACACATACACCATTTCTAATGTGACTCCTACCTGAATATCAAAGTTGAAAACCTAAGTTATAAATCTCCTTAGTTTTTTCTCCAACCCATTTTGTTTCCTGAATGCATAAGATATTTATCTTCCTATGAACCATAATATAAGCTAATTCTATTAATTTAGTTGTGGGAGTACCTATACTCCAAGATCATATTCTAATACTAATTTCATGGACTAAGTTCCTTACCCGTATCCATCCGTAATCTGGAACCATTACTTATTTGACATTACAATCGGGCGCCAGTATAGCGAGTCTAGCACATTTTTCACTATAGTCAGGTTATACAGCGCGTCGCTTCCAGGAGACGCTCTATCATTTACACAATGATCTAAGAGATTCATAACATGATTATTCGACAAATTTTACGCTAGTTATCAACAACCTAACGTAAACTTCCGCTTACATCTGGTACTTAGGACCCAGTAATTACAGTGTTGTATAGCCTGAATACATTAATATTATAGTAAAATTATACTTAGCATTAACCACATTGGTGCAATTTAGTAAGTGTGTTGCAATTGAGAATAAAATATGGAGTTCACAATCCTTATGGTCAAGTAAACAAGATGCTAACTAAAGTACTTTAAAACAAGGAAAAAATTACTTCTCTCATCAAATTTAGGATGTGTCTGAATTAGTTATCAGGAACTCCAAGTCAAGGTTGCATGAGACAATTTGAAGAAACAAGCTTGAAGCACCAAACATCTTTATAAATTCAATTCACGGGAGAAAAAATAATAAGGTCATAATCTTGTATGTTAAAAGTGTTTGCAACATAACGCACCATTTTTCCTCAAATGACAGCAGTTGAACTTTCTCTGAGCCTGCATAACAATAAAGAGAACATTCATATTTAAAAACAAGTCCTTTTCAATGAATAATATTGAGCCTCCGTAAGCTTAAACATAGCACGCGTATAGGAAAATTAAAGCCACAAAATTATCCCTTAAAATTAAAAAAAAAAAACAAACAAGCAATCCTCAACAGCATAAGCTAACCTATTTTCTTGTAAAGCCATGCATCGATAGCTAATGATATTCTATAAAGAATTATATGATGTTTGACTTCTATTAAGAAAATTGAATTTGCCAAAGAAGAAAAAAATAAGCAACAAATGAAGTTACGCAAAAGAAAGCAGAGAAGAATCCGTAAAAAATAAAAAAATGATATTTAGTTTAAGATTTGGCCTTGAGGATCGTTCAGGACTTCCAATAGCAAGAATCGATAATTAAATAAAGGTAGAAGACAAGGGAAACCAAAAAGAGGGCAGCTAATGTCATCGAACATTACTTCATTAAGTTGTAGGTTTAATTTTATAACATAATCAGGGAAAGTATTTGTATTCTAAAAAAAAGGAATTTAAGTTTTTCAGTTAATTTTGTATGGAAAAAGCAACCAAACTGTTTATTTTCAATCACACTACTAATTGCACAAAAATATTTATCATTCTATTTTCCAAATTAGGGGATTACCATAATGAAAAAAAGTTTCAAAAATTTAAGCATTTTCCTACTCATTTTATTAATTATAAATGAGCATCATAAATTGGTACGATCATATTGTTTCTAATTTAAAAAAGACATCAAATGACATCCTAATTAGTTGTCCAATCAGCAGAGGAGCGAACAGATTTAAATATTAAAGTAAATTATTTTCCGATATATCGATCACAAAATATTGTTATAATATTATGATTCGTGGTATCAAGTTTCATATAAATGAAGCAAAAATTAATAGGAATGTAAGAGAATTAAAATATATTAATCTCAAGTATCTCAAATACAAGAAAATGCTTATAGAATATTCACTAAAACATATCTTTAGTTACCAGATTTACTAACTATAATAAGATAACCATATCAAAATTATCCTTATTATTCATTCAATTAATCTATTGTTTTTTATCACAATCAAATATAGTGTAATAAATTTAGAGCAATATCTAAGTACTTTAAAAGTCATTCCTTCCCCATTATTTTCCCTAATTTAGCGGTAAGAAAAGTTTGGACCAAGTACTCTTGAAGAATGAAGATCTCAATCTCAAAAATCAACGTTATTCTTAACCATAAACCTTTATTTTTAGCCCAAAGTCCTAATGTCTAGAAACCTAGAATGCAAAATCTTTTTTCCATGAATAAGACAAAACAATAAAATAAAGTAAAATAATAACAAAAAACTTCGAACAAAATGACACGAACCGGTATTTTGTCTTTCGTTCGATCCATGTGAAGAAACGGACTGCTAACTCAGAGAGAGCGAGTGTGAGTTTTGGGAAAGCTAGGAGATGAATGGAAACTAGAAAGGCAAAATAGTTATAAAAGAGAATAGAAAAGGAAGGTACACGACATCGTGGATCTAAATAACAACCAAATCCAAAATGATTTTTTTAGTTTCTACCAAAAAAATAAAACAAAAATGCTTCATTTCTACGAAACAAGATGCCATAAATCATAATATTATAAAAATATTTTGTGATGGATATAACATAAAATAATTTACTTTAATATTTGAATTTGTTCGTTATTCTGCTGCTAGGACAACTAATTAGGATGTCCTTTTATGTCGTTCTTAAATTAGGAACAATATGATTGTACCAAATTTATGATAATGCTCTTTTATAATTAATAAAATGAGCAAGAAAATGGTTAAATTTGCTAAACTTTTTTACAATGTGGTAATTCACTAATTTGGAAAAAAGAATGATAACAATTAGTAGTGTGCTTGAAAATAAACAGTTTGGTTGCCTATTCTATACAAAATTAAATGGACAGCTAGAATTTCTTTTTATTAGAGTACAAATGGTTTCCCTGATCATAATATAAAATTAAACCTACAACTTAATGAAGTAATGTTGGATGATATCAGCTGCCCTCTTTTTGGTTTCCCTTGTCTTCTACCTTTATTTATTTTTCAACTCTCGCTGTTGGAAAGTCTTGAACGATCCTCAAAGCATTCACATATATACCACATAATCCTTATATATGCACATATGTAGTACCTAAACTTTGATATTTATACACATAGCATTCAAATCTTTAACATCACAGTAAAAATATCACAATTGCATGATTCTTATATATGCCTAACCAAGTCCAACAAAGGTTTAAGAAAACCTCCAATCAACGACGTTCAAAATAAAAGCATCCGTTTGGGCTGCCATGTATGTAATTATCCCTTAACAAAAATAAATTTGGCATAAGATGGTTAAAACAAACATTCCTTTGTTTCTTCTCATTGAAGACAGTGGAACTAGTAAATCCAACAGCTAACAACCCAGAAAAAAAAAAAAAATCATATGTTAAATCAAAGAGCAAGCATCACTGTAGATCTATATGCTCAAAGAATTTCTCACATGAATCTGAAATCCAAACAGATAGAAATAACAAAATCGATGCAGAAAACAAGATGCGAGCTTTTAGGTCGCCTAAAAATCAAAAAGTTCGGAAGCACCTTGGGGAAGCTGGCGGAAAGATACGCCGGAGTCGTTACGGGCTTTGTAACGTAGGCGGAGAGGACGACGGGAGAAGGAGGTCAATGATGGCAGCGGCTCGCTGCGGGGACGAACCGAGACGGAAGACGGGGAATCCTAGGGCATGAACCGAGACGGCATACGGGGGACAACCACCGAAAAAATCCAGCGTTTCGCAGTTAAAACCGCACAGAACTGGGTTGCAACCGATCGTGATTCAAAACCCACAAACAAAGGTCACCTAAATTTCAGGGTAGTAACTTCGTTGTAATTTATAATTTGTAATTTGTGATGGATATTCCTTTGTAATCTGTGGTAGATATTGATCCGTGTTTGGTTGCATAATTTAGACATTAATTAGACATTAATAATTAGGGCTGTCAAAAAGGCTCGTTATTCTCGAACAGCTCGTGTTCGGTTAGCTAAAAAGCTCGTGTTCAGCTCGTTTGTTAAGTTAACGAGTCGAACACGAACAACACAAACAAATATTTGTTCGCTCATGTTCGGCTCGTTTTGGCTCGAAATACTACTAATCAATTATATATATATTAATATTTTAAAAAACTTAATCTTAATATTTTTAAAAAACTTATTTACCACAAGGCTATAAAGATTTATAATAAATTATAGTATTAATTAAGAAAATAAAATAAAAATTATTAAATTAGATTCAAATAATGTTTTATAATAAACAATAATTTTTAAATCTTACTCTAATCCTTAACATATTATGGCTACCTGATTAGGGTTGTCAAAATAATTTTTTGTTTGTGAACGGCTCGTATTCGGCTCGCTAAACAAACGAGCCGAACATGAAGACACTTTTTGAGCTCGAAATATAAACGAGCCGAACAGCTCGTTTACACCCCTATTAAACATCATGAATCAAAGGTAAATTGGTTTAAAAAAATAAAATTAAATTAATTAAATAATTTCCCGTTAGATTGAATTTTCAGGATTGTTTTTATTCTTGCATTCTGTTTCTTTTATTATATGAATTCATATTTATTGAATCTGAATGTGAAACATATTTGAGAATTTGTTTCTGCAGTCACTCCAAAATTTGATAGATATCAAACTCTTATTTAGCATAAATTTAGATTGCAGTCAAACACCACCTTAAATTAATCGTTAGATTGCTCTTTTTTATTTATTTAATGTAAGTTTCTATTTTTAATTTATTTTTTAATTTGTTATGATTATATATATATATATATATATAATCTTGTGACATTCAAACAAAGAGTCACGATGCATGGCTTGAATATAAGTTCATAATTGAAAGAAATTAGTTTTTTTTCTGATGAAATATTGGACAAACAAATTCAACTTGCTTAGTTTTGAAAGGAGTTAAACCCAGTCCTTATCATGTAGTATGTGATTAATTGTCGCTTTACTATTTGCAATAAATTTTTTTGGTTCATTATAATTGTGTTGAATTTCAACACAATTTAATGAAGTGAGTATTGCCTCATAAGATTTGTGATCAAGACTATATTGAGTATAGGTATTTGTGCCCAGATATCATTCTTGAATTTTCCAAGAATCGGTGATTTCATAATTTTCTAAATTTATTTCGAGAATTTTCTTCTTAGAAGATTTTTATATAAATTCAATAACTTCTTAAATTTGAAATTAGAATATCGTGATCCTGATGTAGATGTGGATATCATAGGACTTCCATACAGATATTTATGTAAATAAATAAATTTGTGTGGAGTCATATTAGGCTGACCTCTATGTCGGTCCCCTCGAAAAGATGTTTCACCCCATTGGGGTGTCATTTTTGTGTGTGGGTGATGAGTAATCCACCTCTTCTTGTCTTTCTCCCTACAAGAATTCACAATTGAGAAAGTCAGATAAAGAATTAGAGTTACATGTAGTATATTCAATATCAAATTCAAAACAAGAAATTTGGGCTAGCCATTCAACAAATATTTGCTTAGAAACGAGATTTTTGACAACTTTATGTGGTATATATTTTATAAGATTGCAATTAATTCGTAATAAGAATTTTTTATATAATAAATCATATTAAAATTTTGTAATGCATTTGACTACCGAAAACATTTCTTTCTTGATAGTCAAATAATTTTCTTGAGTGGTATTTCATTTTTCGGATGTAAAACGAGCTAATTGTTTGGTGTTTAAAGTATTTTTTTTTTACTTTAAGATTCACCGTAACCAATATTAGATGCATCAGTCTCCAGTATTTTATGGAGAGACAGATTTGCAACATGTAAACGAGGTAAATTTTTTATCTTTAGCTTAATTTGTTGGACAGTTTTAATATAATTTTCTGTCAAAGGATTATGTTGTTTCTTTAATTGATTATAAAGAATGACAGCATTTAAAGCTAGATCTTCATAACAATTCGCTACATAATTGCTACATAATTTAGTAAACTTAGGAATCTCTTTAAATGACGGAGGTTTTGAATTTTATCTAGAAATTTAGAAGCGAATTACGTGCTTCTATCAATTGAAATAATAGTATTTTGGACAATATTGTGCGCTAAAAACCAAATTTTGGTATAAAATAACTTGAATTTTTATGTTGAAATTACCAGCCCATTATTTTTTACAAGCCATTGAAATGCTGACAAGTGTTTAAAATGTTTCTCTATTGAATTAGAGAAAATAAGAACATCATCAATAGAAACTAATATATAATCAAAATATGAAATGAATATTTCATTTATTATCTTTTGAAATTCAAATCGAGCATTTTTTATTCTAAACAACATTACACTTTATTCATAATGACCAAACGGAACTGTAAATGATATTTTATATTTATAAGATTCAATATTTTGGATTTACCAATATACATATTTTAAATTAAATTTTGAAAAACCATTGCGGAGTTGGTTAATCTATTAAGTAAATCTCTTTTATTTGGTAAGGGATATCTAATCCATTTTAAAACTTGATTTAAAGGTTTATAATTAATTACTAATCGTAGTTTATTGTTTTCCTTTTCTACATTGTTCATAACATAGAATGTAGTACAACTCTAAGAAGAGCTGAATTATCGAATTAATTTTTTTATCGAGGTTCATTAATCTCGTATTTACACATTTTTAATTATTCTTGGTTCATTTTACACGATCGTGTCTTAATCTTAATATTTCTTTCATCAAAATTATTGATGTACGATAAACAAATACAGTTTTTTTTCTATCCAAAAAAACATCTAGATTATCACTACAAATTTATTTAAAATAGTTTTATGAATAGTAAAAATTTTTTGCTTTTACACAAGTTGTTTTTTTATTTTTCTTCTATAACTAAAAAAGTATTTTTTTTTTTAGAAAATTAATTTGATTTTGCTTTAAATTAATTTTACTTAATTCATTCAAAATGATTTATGTATGACTGTTAATAAATTCAAAAATAATTGGTCTACCAAACCAAAATAATGTGTAGCGTTAAATTTTTAACTAATAAAAAAGGTGTATTAATACAAATATTATTTTGGTAAATATTAGTAGAGGGCATTTTATATTTTATTTCCATTTTATTTCTTAAATAAGAAATTAACTGCAGCGTTGTTTTTTCAAAATATTTAGAAAGTATTATTCATTTTTTAATATAATTCATATCTGTACCGCTATCAATTTAAACAGTGAGTTTATGTAGAGTGTATTATCGTTGTAAATCATTTATGCATAACTGCCTTTTGTAAGGAATTTAAAAAATGATTGTTCTTGATTATTTTCTTTTTGTACTATTATTTCAGTAGATATAATATTTTTCGAGTTTTAGTAATCTAGTATTTATGTTTTCTTGACTTTTATAGAAAATATTTAGTTCAGATTTTAGCGTATTAAATTTTTTTTTTCAAATCATTAATAGTAGTACATCTCTTATCTGTATTTAAAATTAAGGTTTTATTTAAAGCTTCTTTCATATAATTTCCTAAAAAAAGAATAATATTATAAGATGAGGATTCTCCTTTCGATTTGATAAATATTTTTAACATTTTATTACAAGTCTTTTCATTCTCAATTTGAGATGCAATTTTAAGTATTTCTTCTTTCATTGAAGAAGATAAAGTAAATAAGTCGTTCATTTTGACGATAGATTTATAATAATTTTTATTATTACATTTGCACTTAGATTTTTATGTGCAATCTTTTTCATGAGATTCTAATGAGTAATATGAATGGTTCTCTTTTTTTTTCTGAACTTTATGAATTGTCAGAATTTTTAGAAGATGAATGTAAGATTTATTTGAAAATAAATTACTTAATATTTTCATCAATATTAAGCTTATTTATTTTCTTTTTGATTGTGCATATATTGGTATTGTGGTCTGTTTTGCTACATCTATATCATTTGATTTCTCTATTTTTTTTCTTATGAGAAATCTTCAAACTTTTCTCTTAATAATATTTTGAGTGTTGCTTATGATATTTCTTCTTTTTATGCAAATATTTTTCTTTTTCTTTTGAAAATTTAAGAATATCATAAACAAATTGTTCACAGAAAGTCTAATTATTTTCTATCTATCAATCTTTTCTTTTTAATATGATATCTCAATTTAAGATCCGTAGACAAGGTTAATCGTTCTTGTACACAAGTATTTATCAGTTGTTCATATGTCAGATCTCTATGAAATGTGTTTAATAGCAATATCCTATAATAATCTTTTTACCTTATCGGTAAAAGTTTTGGTAAACCTTCGACGAATTTTTGTTTCCAATGTGTGTTATTCACATTTGGTAGATACGTTACTATGATAAAAAAGACATCTTTATACCATTTAAAATGTGTTAATGTTGGACATCTTAATTTTTGCAAAACACAACGAATTTGCTCGCCATTATTAGATATTATTTCAGTAAAACATTGTAAAATATTAATAATTAATTTATAAAGAGTATGAGTGTTTTCTTGATTGAGGTTTCCTAAGATAATAGCACTCAAAAATTTATTACGTTCTTCTCGATTCAAGTAATTATCACACAAGCCTTTTAGAAGGTCGGTAAACACACAAGTTAACTATGTTTCAATTTGATGAGGTATATTATTATGACTCTAAGTAGCAAAAACATAAATTATCATTCTTTGCAATACAATTTGTATTTGACAATCAGTCATATCATCAATATCCCATTAATGGATATTGGATGAATTATAATCATTGTAGTATTTATTATTAGCTTCTTCATATAAAACATCTGCAGGAGTAGATCTAGGATAATAGTATCGACCCGTCTACCTTGTTGGATATGAAGGTGATGCTTGAGTGC